TATATTATATAATACACATATTACATAATATATAGTTTATATAAATACAGTAGAGTACAGAAATTTTGTGGAGGGCTAGGAATGGGGGTGTAGGTAAGGGAGGGGATCTAGATATGATCAAAATATATTGTACAAAATTTGCAAAAATTCAATAAACAAAAATGTTTAAGGGAGCGGAAGTTCAGAGTAGAGGGGGTGCAGGTGAGGTTTGATCCAGGCATTCTCGTTCTGAAGGGCACACCCAGGACTGTGGAGATTAGGAAGCTGCCCTTTCTTCTTAGAGAACCAAGTGGCCTGCCAGTGTCCCCCAACTCAGGCACAGTGGGTGTCCCGTTCAGGGCCCTTCTCAGATGACTCACCAGTGTCACCAAAGGCTGTGTGACTCTGTATGAAGTTCCCATGCCCGATCCGGATGGCTTCAGAGTTGGCAATGGAGATGTGGCTGTTTGCACCTTGTTGGCAGATCATGTTGATTGGATTCTGCTGGTAAATAATTGCTGCTGGCTGTTGTCTTTCTTGGGAATTAACTACAAAATAACACTCCACTGAGTCCCTTTGCCTCTTCAGGGGAATCACCTGCACCAAATCCCCCAGAAGGCTTGCTGAAACACAAGTGTAGGCTGCACCCCTGGTGTCCAAGAAAGATGGTCCTGGAGCCTCCAGGAGCAGGTCCTAAGCCTTCCTTACGTGTGTTTGATGGACACCATGGTGCCTCATATGGGAGCTTAGCCTGAAATCGCTGCAGTGGGGGCCTTACCTGTGTCCTTAGCCATGATGGCTCACTTGAAGGACAGCAGCACCTCCTACTCTCTCCTTACTCTGTCCCTGTTTCCAGAGACTACCACGGCTCTCAACAAGCCCCCCAGACTCCTCTCCCTCCAGCAAGGACTCAGGTAACAGTATTAAGGATTTTGATGTGTCCCCCATGTTTAAAATCTGGCTGCCACCCACAGTAGCCAGGAGCCCTGTGGGCACCATGAGCAGGGGGAGCAGGCAGGTGGGCAGGCCCACTGGAGCACGGGCCAGTACCCCCAGGCTCTGCTCCACAGGACCACACACCTTCTTGAGCCATCAGCTTGTGTGCCTCTGTGCATACTTTCTTCTGTAAAACTTAAAGTAGCCAGGCATGGTGGTGTTCACTTGTAATCCCAGCACGTGGGAGGTGGAGGCCCGAAGATCAGGCATTCAAGGTCATCCTGAGCTACGTGAGACCCTGTCTCAAAAAAATTAAATAAAATAATGGCATTTTGCAACCATGTTGGTGTGAAAGCAAGCAAATCCTGGCTGGGGAATTTTTAGATATGCATTGCTGTTAAAATGTTCATTTCTTCTTCTGACGTTAAAAGACATTAACATAAAACATTTTGGGGGCTCCTTAAAGTACCACAGGCTCAGGCTGGCCTTGACCTGCCAGTTCTTCTGCCTCTGCCTCCCGAGTGCTGGGATTAGAGGCCTGTGCCATGAGGCCTAGCTTCTTCAGTCAACTAAAACCCCTCAGAGTTGTTACCTAATTCAGACTGACCCCAGTGCCCAGATCAGTCGCATTGGGCCCCTCCCTCTGCATCTGCAGCTCTTGACTCTCCAGCACCCCTCTCTGCAGTCAGCACCCCCGCTCCTGGAATCCCACCCGGAGGACTCTCAGGAAAACCTGACCCTAGACCATCCAGGTCTGACCTTTAACCTTTCTAATCTGACCCCTTGCCCTGACCTTCCCAACCTGACCTTTGATCTCCCCTACCTGACCCTCGACCACTGACTCCTGACCCATGACCTTGCCAGTATGACCCTAGAACATCTGATACTGACCCTTGACCATCCCAATCTGACCCGTGACCTCTCATACCTGACCCTTGATTTGACCCACAGGTTGTCCATATCTGGCCATCATAGTTCAGAAGGTGGCGGTTCCTCATGGCATAGAGGTCTGGGTTCACATCTTTGGCTGTCTTCAGTCCCAGAGCTTGGGCGATGTGCAGGGCTTTGCAAGGCCCTTTGGCCTCCAGGAACCTGTAGATCTGTTCCTCTGCAAGGTGGGAGGCAGGTGCTTATTGGGGATTCCTGGGTTTGGATCCACATACCACTCAATGACTGTGGCCTGGGATGCTTATGAAGTCGGGGGCAGAGTCCTCATCTACCACAGCACATGGTCATACTGGAGACAGTGGTTGTCTGGGAACCACAAATGTGCATAAGACTCTCAGTCCAGAGCCTGGGCTATGTGGGGCACAGACAAGTGTCAGCTCTAAGCAGAGAAACTGCTTCTTGGCCATTTAGATATTTTGACTGTGAAGAATGACTCTGGCCTCTGAGACCTTTGTGGGCACCTTGGTGCTAGGGCATAACCCCAAACATTGGTCCCTGTGTTTCCCCCACTCCCACCCCATGAACAGTTTGTAACAGCAGGGATGGGGTTGATGAGAAATGGGAAGGCTTACGGTGGGTGCTGAGCTGAGGGCCGGGACTGCCTGGGACTGAACCTGTGTCTTGCTGGGGCCTCGGGGCTGTTGGAACAAAGATGTATTGATTGAATACTGGAGCTGTCCCCACTCTGGTGGGGAGCAGTTCCACAGGAGGTTTGGCGGACAGGGCATTAAACTGGGATCCCAGAGCTGAGGGCTGCTTCCCACCTTCCTGGGTCACAGCTGTGGGCTGCCGGGAGGCCAGTTCCTCCTCCACCACTTCCTTCTCTGTCCCCCTCCCTCGGTGCTGTGCCAGCACTTGGAGCCACTGGCCCTTTCTGCTTGGGGGCTGTCAAGCCACCTGCATGTGCTCCAACTGGACTCTTATCAGTGTCACTCACTGCTCTTGTGACTACTGCTGGGATTGTATTGTTATTATGGCTGGTACCTGCTGCAGACCTACTATGTGCAGACCCTGGGCTGAGCAGTAGCTCTACCCTCAACTGCATTGGCCAGAAGAAACCATGTGATAGGGAGAGGATGACACATGTCCCAAAGTGGCAGAGACTGGTTTGGAACCCAGGCCCAAATCTAGGTTTGTCCATTGCAAAGATGGATCCTGATGGCAGATTACCAAAGCTAGACTGGGCAGCAGAGACCTCAGGGACCTTGGGGACCAGGGGCACCCCATCTCCAGGAGCACCCCCGCCCAAGCGCCATGTTGCAGGGGCTTCTAAGGACACCCTGGCCTCCTTCTTCAGGGAGTAGAGGACTTGGTTGAGGAATTTCTTGGGCACTTGACATTCTTTCACCAGCTGAGCGGTCTTCACAGGGACACCAGCGTCACTCAGCACCTGCAGGATCTTCTGTTCCAGGTTATCTAGGGTAGGGGCAGAGAGAAGAGCTAAGCGGGGTCCCCATGGCCCAAGGGTCTAAGGCTGTGGAGGGAAAAGGTGACTTCCATAGAGGGGCCCAGAACAGAGAGGGAGCCAAGACCCAAGCCAAGCAGATGGCAGTGGGGCAAAGCGGCTGAAACCTCTGTTCGGAGACAAGAGAGTGGTCAGAGTGGACTCTGCCCCGCAGTCGGATGGTTGGATCATCAGATGATGGAGGAGTGTGCAAGCTATTCTGTGTCCTCCTGGTGAGGGGGCCCGGGCAGGCAGTAACCCTCAGCTCTGAGATGATGGAGCAAGAGGCTTGAGGCCAAGTCTGGCCTTGAACCCCCGCTGCGGTAGCCTGCTGCCCCTCCCAGCCTGCTCGGGGACCACTTCTCCCTCCAACTCAGCACCTACTATGATGGTGTGGGTGTCAGCCAGGCCAGAAGTCCAACAGACATGGGAAATGGGCTCCATGTCAGATTGATCCGGAGCCTGGGAGGCACAACTCAGATTTCTCTCTGGTTCTCTACTTTTCCTTTCTCCTCAACACCATGTCCCTGATGGCACCAGCAGTCTCCCAGGTGGCCCACCAACTCCGGAAAGGTTTTCTTCAGTGCCCTCAGCTAGCAGCCAGACGAGGCTGTGCTCGCTCCCTAATCTCCTCTACATGCAACCCCAGGGGCCATCCAGGCACTACCCCTGCCCTCTTTTAGGCACACCTGTCTACAGGGACACTTTTCCCAACCCCCATCTGTTGTCCAGCATCCACTTAACAGCCTTTGGGAAATCGTCTTCACCCACCATGTCCTTGAGGGTCCCTGATGTTTGCCTGGTTCCCTGTAGCACCCTCAGTGTCTTGCTCGGTGATGATTACCCACTGGATACTCAGGAAATGGGGGGTTTCTACCCCAGTCATTTATCTATGCGCCAAGTTTTACCTTTTAATTAATTTATTTATTTATTCTTTTGTCTTTTTGAGACAGGGTCTTCCTGTAGCCCCAGCTGTCCTGGAACTCACTATGTAGACCAGGCTGTCCTTGAACTCACAAAGATCCGCGTGCCTCTGCCTCCCGAGTGCTGGGACTAAAGGCGTGCACCACCACGCCCGGCTATCTTTCTAAATTTTTTTAAAGACAAGGTCTCACCATGTAGGCCAGGCTGACTTGGAACCCCTAGCAGTCTTTCTGCCTCAGGCTCCCCAGTGTTGAGATTATAGGTATGAACCTCTGATTCTGGCTTGACTTTGTCTTTGGAAAACCTTTCCCTGGTGACTGTGCCCACAGTGAGCTCCCATACGCTCCCTCCTCCACTGGGCAGGTGGGCAGAGCTGGGGATGAAGGATGAATTTGAAGGACTGGCTTGGGTCTGAAAGTGGGAGTTCAGGGAATGGGGATGGAAATGACAGGATGGCAGTGACAGTCATCTAGGGAGGAAGCCCAGGAGCCAGGGGAAGCCAGTCCCTGGTCTTCTACACCTTGGCCCCTCCTTGTCACCTCAGGAAGAGCAGGAACATGCCACCTGACCTGGCCCCTGCCTGGTTTCACAGGCCCCTTCCTGGTCTGTTTCTTCCTGTTCATATACCCACATTCAGGCTCTGTGAGCTACTAGCTGTGTGAATGCCCTGTGTCTCGGTTTCCCCATCTTTAAAATGCCCATTATAAACGTTCAAATGTTTGGTCAATGAACCATGATGTCTGAAGAAAATAAACTAGACTTTACCATAAGCTGCCTCAGCAGGGGCATCTAGGATAGTGTGAGGATTGAAAGAGGATGTGATTACTTAAAAAAAAAAAAAGTATAGCAAACAAAATCCCACCCACAAAGCCACAGGCCTGGGCCTTGGCTCAGTCTCAGGACAGAGCAAGTGACTTCCAGGGAAAAAAGGGACCGTAGAAAGAATTCAACCAGGGGCCAGAAGGTACAGGAACGCCAAAGAACGTTCATGTTTCCTGTCAAAGCCGGCGCCCCAGTTTCCCACAGTGACTTTAAGGTGACTGTCCAGATCCCTGCCTAGAGGCACTCCACAGTGACACCTGAGGCTTGTCACTACCCTGGGTGACTTCATTCATGAGGTAAGAGCTGTCACGTTTGCCTAAGGGCTGTCAAAGCCTGATGCAAGAGGCTTAGGGCACAGGAGCCCTGAGCGAGCCTGCTTTAGCTGGGTGTCTTCCTCCTCGGCTGGGGTGTTCTCGGGTACTGCTGCTGTCTGGGCCAAGGAAAGAAGGAGCCCTAGACCCCCCCCAACTCCCCTACCCCTCCAGACCAGCTCTGCTTGGGAAAGACCTCTGCTTACCTCTCGTTGTGCTCTGGTCTGTCGGAGCTTCCGCCATGCTTGCAGCAGCCTCGGGGCACTCTTGGGCCTGAGGTGGCAGGTTCCTGCACTGTGGCAGGATCCCAGGCCTGGCCGTTAAGTGACTGAACTCTGAGCCCAAGAGGGAAGGGGTGACTGCTGGGACCCAGCAAGTGTCAGCTGTTTCTACCCCAGAATCAAACACCCGTTCAGCTCCACCACCACCACCCCCAGCTTCCTGGAGAAAGAGAAAATGAAACTTTGGTGTGTCTCTTGAAAGCAAGGGAATTGAAACCAGAATTGCTGGTAAGCTGCAGTCCGGTGTGATGCTGGCTGATGTGATGCTGGTAGGCGGAGTCATGGCTTGTAGCAAGTGTCAGCTGTTTCTACCCCAGAATCAAACACCCGTTCAGCTCCACCACCACCACCCCCAGCTTCCTGGAGAAAGAGAAAATGAAACTTTGGTGTGTCTCTTGAAAGCAAGGGAATTGAAACCAGAATTGCTGGTAAGCTGCAGTCCGGTGTGATGCTGGCTGATGTGATGCTGGTAGGCGGAGTCATGGCTTGTGGGGCCGGGAGGGGTACACACACACACACACACACACACACACACACACACACGACATCGGGACCACACAGGATGGACCCCCTAGGAGGGCAAGACCTGGGAGTGAGGGGCCATGTGCTCTGCGAGAGTCCCTATGCAGATGACAATGGAGACCTGGGAAAAGGCACCTACTGTGTGTTGCTTACTTGTCCATAAAGCTAGGGCTAAACTGTCCTCTTTCCTCAGATGGGAAACTGGGGCTTGAGGAGGTCTGATATGTAAACACCCAGCAGCATAGAAAAACTTAGAGATTTCAGAATCGGAGGAGAGAAACATCCTCTGACTTTCCTTCCCAGAGACAGCCTTGAAGCTCACATCTGGGGCCACTCTGCTGAATCTTAGGAATGGGAGCTTGGTTGGGTTCAAACTCAACCCCATTTTCCACTGGCTGTGTGACCTTAGTCAAGTTATTTAATTTCTCTGACCCTCAGTTTTAAGTGTTATGTGATTTATTTTTTTATGTGTAAGTGTAGAGGCCAGAAGAGGGCATTGAATCCCCCGGAATTGGAATTATTTGGTTCTTAGCTGCCATGTGGGTGCTGGAACTGAACCTGGGTCCTCTGCAAGAGCAGCCAGTGCTCTTACTCATCTCTCAAGCCCTAAAGCCTCAGTTTTCTTGCCTGTAAAATGAGCTAATGAGCCAGGTGTGGCAGTGCATGCCTTTAATCCCAGCATTTAGGAGGCAGAGGTAGGTGGATCTCTGTGAGATGAGGCCAACCTGATCTACATGGCAAGTTCCAGGTCCGCTAGGGCTACAGGGAGACCCTGTCTCAAAAAGACCAAAAAAAAAAAAAAAATCTAATGAAACTACCTACTTCCTGGCCCCCCTGCTTTAATAAATTCTCAAAAAGGTCAGTTAGTGATCCCCAGTTTAGAGAACACTCTCTCCCAGATTACAGGAGTCCAGGCTCACAGAATGGCCTTGTGCCAAGAACTGAGCCTCCAAGGTGTCTGGACCCGGGTCCCCACTATAGGGGACCGGGGATAAGAGGGGGGGGGTATAGATGTCCCCAGCCTCAAGACCCCTGTGCCCCATCATTAGTGCACAGGGCAGCAGGGAGCAGAAGGAGGAACGTACGCCTGGATGCTGTCTGTTCATCAAGCAGCAGGCTGCAGGTGCTCATCCCGCTGCGCCTTAGCGCCTTAGCGAGTAGAAAAAAGTCGCTGCCGAGGCTATCTAAGCGCAGGCCAGTTCCACACAGCTTGGCACGGGCCAGCACGTGGAAATCTTTTAAATCCTCAAGTGATTATTTTAACGACTCCTGGGGGAGAACCAGCGCCTGCAGAACCAGTCGAGAAAGATAGCAAACTGCACTGGTCATCTGAAATAAACAAGGTCACCATTTTAATGCTTGCATCTGTGCTGGGGAGGGACATCACCCAGGCGCCCTGAGCAGGCTGGGGGACGCGCAATGTGGGGACCTGCCACTAGATGGCGCCCGCTTGTTAGCCCGGCTCTCGCACAGAGGGGTCCCTGGGACTTAAAAGTGAGGCTCTTCCACCCAAGGCGGGCCACCAGATTTAGAGGCCTGGGGTCCAAGACAAGCCCACCTTCTCTGCCTCTTTGCTCATCATCCTTAATTCTTCCAAGCTTTTCTGTGATCACCTCCAGGACAAAAGCAACTTGGGGAGGAAAGTTATTTCATCTCACACTTTCAAGTCACAGACTACCCCTGAGGGAAGTCGGGGCAGGAGCTTGAAGCAGAAACTATGACGATGTCTGCTCACTCCCTGGCTGTTTCTTAATTAGTTTTTTAAAATACAGCAACAGGACCACCTGCCAAAGACTAGTTCCGCCCCACAGTGGGTTGGGCCCGGAGACATCAATCATCAGTCAAGACAATTCCTCGCAAACATACCACAGACCAATCTGATCTGGGCAATCCCCCATTGAGACTTCCCCAGATGACTCTGGCCTGTGTCAAGTTGACAGCTGAGGCAAACCAGGAGATCCAGGCTCTTTTTAGCCTATTGCTCCACCTTTTGTAACCTCTGTTCTTGGATTTGCCATAAGTTCTAGGCTGGCTGCTAGTGCTCCACAGATCACATCTGCATTCCTGCACACAGGAAGGAGGAGTAAAGGGCAGTATTTCTTTTTTAAGAACACATCTTGCAAGTTGTGCAAACTTTCCACTAATAGTTGGTCAGAGCTTGTGGCCCTGACCTGCAAGGAATGCTGGGAAAGATGGTTTGTGTTCTAGATCACCGTGTGCCCAAATAAAATTGGGAGTCGTATTACTTCAACATGGGGTGCAACAGATATTGGCAGATACCTAGCTGTAGGTGCCAATTCAAGAGTCTCTTAAGGTGGGAGCAAGGACATGTCCCTTCATTCTGCAGTTGAGGCTGGCCCCAGTTCCCTCCCCTCCAACCTCTTTCTCTAGCAGGTGGCCAGTTGAGCCTGCCAAGACTGAGTTCAAAGGCTGCCCTGCATCCAGAGATCCTCCCAGGCTATTCAAGGAAAGCATCTCCTCCTTCAGACTAGAAAGGATTGCAAGGGCCCAGAGATACAAGATAGCTGGCTGCGTGGCATGTAAGCTGGTGTCTTTTTGTCTCGGAGAGTATATTCCTTCTGCATGGCTCATATTTTTCTGGAAACTGAACTATATTAGCAACTTAACCTAAGTTACTCCATCTTGCTCAAAATAGCTATTTTAACAGTAACCTCTTTTTACTTATGGGAAATACTTAGAAAGAGACAACAGCTTTGAGTTCTAAGAAATAGCTCAATCACAAACCAGTGGTTTGACTGCTAATCTCCGACAGTCTACATCTGGCTGTTTGTTTTCGCTTCTGTAACTCGCTTGCTATTTTAGGTCACCCTGACACAAAGTATAAGACTGCCCTGTTATTGTCTGACCACCGGTAACTGCTGATCTCAGCTTTCTTACTATACTTGTTGTGGCTAGGAAGGTGACTAATTTTAAAATTACAAAGTTGATTGAGTTATATGACTGTATCACTCGTCTGTATAATGACCAGTTGTTGATTAATAGATTCAAAGTTCTGCTATGTTGTACAAACCTGATTGGTTCACAAATGTCCTGTTTGAATAATATTTCTGTAATCCTATAGAAACTCTGACCCAACAATGATCAGGGCTGCATCTACTCCTGAGATAGACAGCCTGTCTGGTTGAAATAATAAACATTTACCTTGCTACTTTTCTTAAAGTGGTGTTGATGATTTTTTGTGAACTCCGACCTATAACATTTGGAGGTTCCACCGAGATCTTAGAGGGCCTTGTAGGGGGACTATGGGAATCTTGATATATCCAGGAAGTATGATGAGTCACCTGTCCTCTTGTTCAGGGAGGTCATGGAGACCCACCAGAGGGACTCAAACCAGTGTCCAGTCTGCAAAGAGGAGGGTCAACACAGAGAAAATATTTCCTCCATGCTTCCAAGTGAAGCCCCAGTCAAGCAAGACCTCTTGACTTATCTTCATGTAGATGGAACTGGTAAAAGAAAGCCTAAGGAGCCAGGGGCTCCCCCTAAGCCCATGTGACCCCTGAGGACCAGATCCTCAACCAATCTTAAAGTAAAAATAAAATGGTTTATTTGGGCCAACTGTATGGTCTTAAACACCCAAAAGGAAAATATAACCAAAAATTAAAATAATAAGTATATATCTTTAAGAGTCCAAAAGATTGTATTTTCCAGACATTAGACTTAAGCCCAGGTGAAATGTTATTTAGACAACTATTTCCCAATAATGATTTTGTTCTTAACAAGAAAATACTGCTCAGGTGTAAGACTTCAAATCTTGGTCTCCAATACTATAGCACTCACCTATAGCTGCTATTGTTCTAAAATGATGACTAAGTTTATTTTACTTCCTATCTACTGATTCTAGCCACTCCAACAACTATCAGAGTACCTGAAAACAAATCCTGAGTTCATTGTTCTCAAGTCTAGTCTTGACAGCCCAAAGAAAAATGAAAAAGAACCCAATAGATGGATGCTTTTGAAAGCCCTCATCAGAAAATTCCAATGGACTTTAATTTAAGCATTTAAAGTTTGCCCTGTTCTGATTTTTTCTGGTTCCCTGTCTAGAACTTGTAATGCTAACTATTCTTGCCTTTACTTCTCCTTCATATCTCAATTTGAGAGTCTTTTAAATAGACCCACTGAAGGGGTACCCCAATTGCCACACCCTATGTCCCTGTTCAGCACGGAAGAAGCCAGAGAAGTCTGTGTCCCAATTCCCCATGGGCAAATTGGGTTAGTTACCGCTTTAAATTTTAAAAATAAAGAAGAAATCATTGCTCTCCTAGAAGCTAGTAAATGAGATTGTACCTCGATTTGGCATCCCTATTGGTCTGGGGTCTGACAACGGCCTGGCTTTCGTAGCCTGTGTATCTGAAACCTTAGCTTTTGTCCTCCAGATAGATTGGAAATTACATTGTGTATATCACCCCCAGAGTTCAGAACAGGTGGAAAGCATGAAAAGAACTATTAAGGAGACTTTGACTAAGTTAATAACAGAGACTGGTGGTGAATGGGTAGGTACTCTTCCTTTTGCCCCTCCAAAAGCCAGATGTACTCCTTATGTGAAAGGAATTACTCCCTTTGAGATCTTGTTTGGGTGACCTCCACCCTTACTCCGCATTTAGCGGAGGAAAACCTGGCGGAAATATCTAATTACAGCCT